TGTGTTAGTTAAAAATCCATACCGTGAACGGGTTCTGGGAAGTCGGGGGGGGGGGAGGAGGAGGGGGTTGGGGGGTGGAGGGGGGGGCATACAAAAAAAACCTGTACTTCGATGTTTTATTGATTGAGGAATGTTGAAATATTTGTGTTTTAAAAGAAATAAAATTTTTGAAGGAGGAAATAATAATAATAATAGAATAACTAAAATGAAAAAAAAGAGATCATTTATATAACGGGGAAGTGGACCATGTTTGTTAACAATTCCCCCCCCCCTTTCCAATATAGGTTGTTCCAAAGTGACGTGCATCAGCTTATCCCGTGAAGTTTCCATCAAGTTATCTCCTTTACACGGCAAACAGATTTCCATCCGCTACTTGGACATGAGTGACTGTTTTGTCCTTGAGGATGAAGGACTGCACACGATCGCCACCCACTGCACTCAGTTGACACATCTCTACTTGCGCCGCTGCATCCGCATTACCGATGAAGGCCTCCGGTACCTGATGATTTACTGCGCTTCCATCAGAGAGTTAAGCGTCAGCGACTGCCGCTTCGTCAGCGACTTTGGCATGCGCGAGATTGCAAAGCTGGAGTTCCGCCTGCGCTATCTCAGCATCGCCCACTGTGTCCGCATCACGGACGTCGGCCTCCGATACATTACTAAGTACTGCAGCAAGCTGCGTTACCTCAATGCGCGAGGCTGTGAAGGCATCACGGACCATGGAATAGAGTACCTGGCCAAAAATTGCACAAAGCTCAAGTCATTGGACATTGGGAAATGCCCTCTGGTGTCTGACATTGGCTTGGAGTTTCTGGCTCTGAACTGCTTCAACTTGAAGCGGCTGAGCCTGAAGTCTTGCGAAAGTATCACGGGACAAGGCCTGCAGATTGTAGCGGCCAATTGCTTTGACCTGCAAATGCTGAACGTTCAGGACTGTGAGATTTCAGTGGAAGCTTTGCGGTTCGTTAAGCGCCATTGTAAGCGCTGCATTATAGAGCATACTAACCCTGCCTTTTTTTGAAGCAAGAGTCATACTTGTTGCTGAAACAAAAGAATTACAATTGTTTGTATGTACATATGCACAGTTTGTCCGCATATGCAATTAGCAATAGCAATAGCAGTTAGACTTATATACCGCTTCATAGGGCTTTCAGCCCTCTCTAAGCGGTTTACAGAGTCAGCATATTGCCCC